TCATGATCAACAGTATCATCATCGTCATGATCATCATAATTATGATCATCAGTATGATCATCGTCAGTATGATCATCATCATGATCATCATCATCATGATCAACAGTATTATCATCGTCATGCTCATCATCATCATGATCAAAAGTATGATCATCGTCATGATCATCATAATAATGATCATCGTCATGATCATCTTCATAATGATCATCAGTATGATCATCCTCAGTATGATCATCATCATGATCATCCTTAGTATGATCATCATCATGCTCATCCTCAGTATGATCATCATTATGATAATCATCATCATGATCATCAGTATGATCATCATCTTGATCATAATTACTATGTTCATCGTCAAGTTCATCATTAGTATGATCATCAACAGTATGATCATCGTCATGATCATCATAATAATGATCATCAGTATGATCATCATCATGATCATCATCATCATGATCATCATCTTGATCATAATTACTATGTTCATCGTCAAGTTCATCATTAGTATGATCATCAACAGTATGATCATCGTCATGATCATCATAATAATGATCATCAGTATGATCATCCTCAGTGTGATCATCATCATGATCATCATCATCATGATCATCATCATCATGATCATCAGTGTGATCATCATCATGATCATCCTTAGTATGATCATCATCATGATCATCATCATCATGATCATCAGTATGATCATCATCTTGATCATAATTACTATGTTCATCGTCAAGTTCATCATTAGTATGATCATCATCATGATAATCATCATCATGATCAGCAGTATTATCATCGTCATGATAATCATCATCATGATCAACAGTATGATGATCATACTGAGGATGATCATACTGATGATCATGACGATGATCATAATGTTGATGATCATACTAATGATGAAGTTGATGATGAACATACTAATGATGAACAAGATGATGATCATACTAATGATGAACTTGATGATGAACATACTAATTATGATCAAGATGATGATCATACTGATGATCATGATGATGATAATCATGATGATGATCATACTGAGGATGAGCATACTGAGGATGATCATACTGATGATCATAATTATGATGACCATGACGATGATCATAATGTTAATAATCATACTAATGATGAACTTGATGATGAACATACTAATGATGATCAATGATGATCATACTGATGATCATGATAATGATGATTATAATGATGATGATCATACTGATGATCATAATTATGATGATCATGACGATTATCATAATGTTGATGATCATCAGTATGATCATCTTCATGATCATCATCATCATGATCAACAGTATTATCAACGTCATGATCATCATAATTATGATCATCAGTATGATCATCATCATCATGATCAACAGTATTATCAACGTCATGATCATCATACTGTTGATCATGATGATGATAATCATGATGATGATCATGATGATGATGATACTGAGGATAGTCATACTGAAGACCATAATTATGATGATCATGAGGATGATCATAATGTTGATGATCAAACTAATGATGAAGTTGATGATGAACATACTAATGATGAACAAGATGATGATCATACTAATGATGAACTTGATGATGAACATACTAATTATGATCAAGATGATGATCATACTGATGATCATGATTATGATGATCATGACGATGATCATAATGTTAATAATCATACTATTGATGAACTTGATGATGAACATACTAATGATGAACAAGATGATGATCACACTGTTGATCTTGATGATGATGATCATGATGAAGATCATAGTGAGGATGATCATACTAATGATCATAATTATGATGATCATAACGATGATCATACTGTTGATGATCATGCTAATGATCAACTTGATGATGAACATAGTAATGATGATCAAGATGATGATCATACAGATGATCATGATGATGATGATTATGATGATGATGATCATACTAATGATCATAATTATGATCCTCATTATGATCATCATCATCATGATCATTAGTATGATCATCATCTTGTTCATCATTAGTATGTTCATCATCAAGTTCATCATTAGTCTGATTATCAACATTATGATCATCGTCATGTTCATTATAATTATGATCATCAGTATGATCATCCTCAGTATGATCATCCTCAGTATGATCATCATCATCATCATCATCATCATCATCATCATGATCAACAGTATTATCATCTGCATGATCATCATCATCATGATCAACAGTATCATCATCGTCATGATCATCATAATTATGATCATCAGTATGATCATCGTCAGTATGATCATCTTCATGATCATCATCATCATGATCAACAGTATTATCAACGTCATGATCATCATAATTATGATCATCATCATGATCATCATCATCATGATCCTCAGTATGATCATCATTAGTATGATCCTCAACAGTATGATCATCGTCATGATCATCAACAGTATGAACATCGTCATCATCATCATACTTAAAATCATCAGTATGATTATCGTCAGTATGATCATCATCAAGTTCACCATTAGTATGATCACAACAGTATGATCATCGTCATGATCATCAGTATGATAATCCTCAGTACGATCATCATCATGATCATCATGATCATCATGATCATCAGTATGATCATCATGATCATCAGTATGATCATCATCTTGTTCATCATTAGTATGTTCATTATCAAGTTCATCATTAATATGATCTTTAACATTATGATCATCAGTATTATCATCCTCAGTATGATCATCATCATGCTCATCCTCAGTATGATCATCATTATGATAATCATCATCATTATCATCAGTATGATCATCATCTTGATCATAATTACTATGTTCATCGTCAAGTTCATCATTAGTATGATCATCAACAGTATGATCATCGTCATGATCATCATAATAATGATCATCAGTATGATCATCATCATGATCATCATCATCATGATCATCAGTATGATCATCATCTTGATCATAATTACTATGTTCATCGTCAAGTTCATCATTAGTATGATCATCAACAGTATGATCATCGTCATGATCATCATAATAATGATCATCAGTATGATCATCCTCAGTGTGATCATCATCATGATCATCATCATCATGATCATCAGTATGATCATCGTCAAGTTCATCATTAGTATGATCATCATCATGATAATCATCATCATGATCAGCAGTATTATCATCGTCATGATAATCATCATCATGATCAACAGTATGATGATCATACTGAGGATGAACTTGATGATGAACATACTAATTATGATCAAGATGATGATCATACTGATGATCATGATGATGATAATCATGATGATGATCATACTGAGGATGAGCATACTGAGGATGATCATACTGATGATCATAATTATGATGACCATGACGATGATAATTCTGTTGATCATGATGATGATCATTCTGAGGATGATCATACTGATGATCATAATTATGATGATCATGACGATGATCATAATGTTAATAATCATACTAATGATGAACTTGATGATGAACATACTAATGATGATCAAGATGATGATCATACTGATGATCATGATGATGATGATTATGATGATGATGATCATACTGATGATCATAATTATGATCCTCATTATGATCATCATCATCATGATCATTAGTATGATCATCATCTTGTTCATCATTAGTATGTTCATCATCAAGTTCATCATTAGTCTGATTATCAACATTATGATCATCGTCATGTTCATTATAATTATGATCATCAGTATGATCATCCTCAGTATGATCATCCTCAGTATGATCATCATCATGATCATCATCATCATGATCATCATCATCATGATCAACAGTATTATCATCTGCATGATCATCATCATCATGATCAACAGTATCATCATCGTCATGATCATCATAATTATGATCATCAGTATGATCATCGTCAGTATGATCATCTTCATGATCATCATCATCATCATGATCAACAGTATTATCAACGTCATAGTCATCATAATTATGATCATCATCATGATCATCATCATCATGATCCTCAGTATGATCATCATTAGTATGATCATCAACAGTATGATCATCGTCATGATCATCAACAGTATGAACATCGTCATCATCATCATACTTAAAATCATCAGTATGATTATCGTCAGTATGATCATCATCATGATCATCATCATCATCATGATCATCAGTATGATCATCATCTTGTTCATCATTAGTATGTTCATCATCAAGTTCATTATTAATATGATCTTTAACATTATGATCATCAGTATTATCATCCTCAGTATGATCATCAGTATTATCATCCTCAGTATGATCATCATCATGATCATCATCATGATCATCATCTTGATCATCATTAGTATGTTCATTATCAAGTTCATCATTAGTATGATCATCAACAGTATGTTCATCGTCATGATCATCATAATTATGATCCTCATTATGATCATCATCATCATGATCATTAGTATGATCATCATCTTGTTCATCATTAGTATGTTCATCATCAAGTTCATCATTAGTCTGATTATCAACATTATGATCATCGTCATGTTCATTATAATTATGATCATCAGTATGATCATCCTCAGTATGATCATCCTCAGTATGATCATCATCATCATCATCATCATGATCAACAGTATTATCATCTGCATGATCATCATCATCATGATCAACAGTATCATCATCGTCATGATCCTCAGTATGATCATCATTAGTATGATCATCAACAGTATGATCATCGTCATGATCATCAACAGTATGAACATCGTCATCATCATCATAATTAAAATCATCAGTATGATTATCGTCAGTATGATCATCAGCAAGTTCACCATTAGTATGATCACAACAGTATGATCATCGTCATGATCATCAGTATGATAATCCTCAGTACGATCATCATCATGATCATCATAATTATGATCATCATCATGATCATCATCATCATGATCCTCAGTATGATCATCATTAGTATGATCATCAACAGTATGATCATCGTCATGATCATCAACAGTATGAACATCGTCATCATCATCATAATTAAAATCATCAGTATGATTATCGTCAGTATGATCATCATCAAGTTCACCATTAGTATGATCACAACAGTATGATCATCGTCATGATCATCAGTATGATAATCCTCAGTACGATCATCATCATGATCATCATGATCATCATGATCATCAGTATGATCATCATCTTGTTCATCATTAGTATGTTCATCATCAAGTTCATCATTAATATGATCTTTAACATTATGATCATCAGTATTATCATCCTCAGTATGATCATCATCATGATCATCATCATGATCATCATCTTGATCATCATTAGTATGTTCATTATCAAGTTCATCATTAGTATGATCATCAACAGTATGTTCATCGTTATGATCATCATTAGTATGTTCATCATCAAGTTCATCATTAGTATGATTATCAACATTATGATCATCGTCATGTTCATTATAATTATGAGCATCAGTATGATCATCCTCAGTATGAAAATCATCATGATCATCATCATCATGATCAACAGTATTATCATCGTCATGATCATCATCATCATGATCGACAATATCATCATCATAATGATCATCATAATTATGATCATCAGTATGATCATCCTCAGTATGATCATCTTCATGATCATCATCATCATGATCAACAGTATTATCAACGTCATGATCATCATAATTATGATCATCAGTATGATCATCCTCAGTATGATCATCATCATGATCATCATCATCATGATCATCAGTATCATCATCATCATGATCATCATAATTATGATCATCAGTATGATCATCAACAGTATGATCATCCTCAGTTTGATCATCCTCAGTATGATCATCCTCAGTATGATCATCATCATCATCATCATCATGTTCAACAGTATTATCATCTGCATGATCATCATCATCATGATCAACAGTATCATCATCGTCATGATCATCATAATTATGATCATCAGTATGATCATCATTAGTATGATCATCAACAGTATGATCATCGTCATGATCATCAACAGTATGAACATCGTCATCATCATCATACTTAAAATCATCAGTATGATCATCAACAGTATGATCATCGTCATGATCATCAACAGTATGAACATCGTCATCATCATCATACTTAAAATCATCAGTATGATTATCGTCAGTATGATCATCATCATGATCATCATCAGCATGATCATTAGTATGATCATCATCTGTTCATCATTAGTATGTTCATCATCAAGTTCATCACTAGTATGATCATCAACATTATAATCATAGTCATGTTCATCATAATTATGATCATCAGTATGATCATCCTCAGTATGATCATCATCAAGTTCACCATTAGTATGATCACAACAGTATGATCATCGTCATGATCATCAGTATGATAATCCTCAGTACGATCATCATCATGATCATCATGATCATCATGATCGTCAGTATGATCATCATCTTGTTCATCATTAGTATGTTCATCATCAAGTTCATCATTAATATGATCTTTAACATTATGATCATCAGTATGATCATCCTCAGTATGATCATCCTCAGTATGATCATCCTCAGTATGATCATCATCATCATCATCATCATGTTCAACAGTATTATCATCTGCATGATCATCATCATCATGTTCAACAGTATTATCATCTGCATGATCATCATCATCATGATCAACAGTATCATCATCGTCATGATCATCATAATTATGATCATCAGTATGATCATCGTCAGTAAGATCATCTTCATGATCATCATCATCATGATCAACAGTATTATCAACGTCTCGATCATCATAATTATGATCATCATCATGATCATCATCATCATGATCCTCAGTATGATCATCATTAGTATGATCATCAACAGTATGATCATCGTCATGATCATCAACAGTATGAACATCGTCATCATCATCATACTTAAAATCATCAGTATGATTATCGTCAGTATGATCATCATCATGATCATCATCAGCATGATCATTAGTATGATCATCATCTGTTCATCATTAGTATGTTCATCATCAAGTTCATCATTAATATGATCTTTAACATTATGATCATCAGTATTATCATCCTCAGTATGATCATCATCATGATCATCATCATGATCATCATCTTGATCATCTTTAGTATGTTCATTATCAAGTTCATCATTAGTATGATCATCAACAGTATGTTCATCGTCATGATCATCATAATTATGATCCTCATTATGATCATTATCATCATGATCATGAGTATGATCATCCTCAGTATGATCATCTTCATGATCATCATCATCATGATCAACTGTATTATCAACGTCATGATCATCATAATTCTGATCATCAGTATGATCATCCTCAGTATGATCATCATCATGATCATCATCATCATGATCAACAGTATTATCAACGTCATGATCATCATACTGTTGATCATGATGATGATAATCATGATGATGATCATGATGATGATGATACTGAGGATAATCATACTGAAGACCATAATTATGATGATCATGAGGATGATCATAATGTTGATGATCATACTAATGATGAAGTTGATGATGAACATACTAATGATGAACAAGATGAAGATCATACTAATGATGAACTTGATGATGAACATACTAATTATGATCAAGATGATGATCATACTGATGATCATGATGATGATCATACTGAGCATGATCATACTGATGATCATAATTATGATGACCATGACGATGATAATTCTGTTGATCATGATGATGGTGATCATGATTATGATCATTCTGAGGATGATCATACTGATGATCATAATTATGATGATCATGACGATGATCATAATGTTAATAATCATACTAATGATGAACTTGATGATGAACATACTAATGATGAACAAGATGATGATCACACTGTTGATCATGATGATGATGATCATGATGAAGATCATAGTGAGGATGATCATACTAATGATCATAATTATGATGATCATAACGATGATCATACTGTTGATGATCATGCTAATGATCAACTTGATGATGAACATAGTAATGATGATCAAGATGATGATCATACTGATGATCATGATGATGATGATTATGATGATGATGATCATACTGATGATCATAATTATGATCCTCATTATGATCATCATCATCATGATCATTAGTATGATCATCATCTTGTTCATCATTAGTATGTTCATCATCAAGTTCATCATTAGTCTGATTATCAACATTATGATCATCGTCATGTTCATTATAATTATGATCATCAGTATGATCATCCTCAGTATGATCATCCTCAGTATGATCATCCTCAGTATGATCATCATCATGATCATCATCATCATGATCAACAGTATTATCATCTGCATGATCATCATCATCATGATCAACGGTATGATCATCGTCATGATCATCATAATTATGATCATCAGTATGATCATCGTCAGTATGATCATCTTCATGATCATCATCATCATGATCAACAGTATTATCAACGTCATGATCATCATAATTATGATCATCATCATGATCATCATCATCATGATCCTCAGTATGATCATCATTAGAATTAGAATTAGAATTTCTTTATTTTGTCCCAGGAAAACCATGAGAACAACAATCAAATATACAGAAAATAAGAAAAACAAAAATAATAACAATTATAAATAAAAGATAATATCATTCGCAACATACTTTGAATAAATTTATCGCAATAGCAAATTGTAAAATATGTATATAAATTTGAAAAAATTTCTAATCATCACGCGCAAACAAATAATTATGCAATTTGATTTTAAAAGTCGACGTACATTTAATTGAAATTATAAAGCTGGGAAGAGAGTTCCACAGAGATGTCGCAGTAATTATGAAAGAGTTTTTATATTGTTCAGTTTTACAAGGAGGAGCCCTAAGAATATTAGGACACCTCAACGCTCGAGAAGTAATTTCATCCCTGAAAGTAAATTTTTCATAAAGATATAAAGGTTTTTTAGTATTTAAAATGACATGTGTTAAACATCCAATAAACCAGTGCCGTCTTTTACGAACACTCAGCCATCCAAGTTTTCGACGATATGGCGTTACATGTACATCCATTCTTAAGTTGAAAATAAATCGAATACAAGAATTGAGTAGCTTTTCTAGTTTATAATTTAATTCATCAGTTAAATCATTGTAGACAGCACAGCAGTAATCGAAATGAGGAAAGATTAAGGACGTTACAATCTTTATTTTTATTTCTGTAGTGAGGGCATTTCTATTTGCTTTAAATTGCGATAAACTAGCATAAGTGTTTTTACAAATTTTACCAACTTGCTTGTCCCAAGAAAGAGTTGGTCTATAGATAACACCCAAGTTTCTAACAGAATCAACAAAAGGAATAGTAATGTTATCAATCTCAATCGGGGGGTAATTACATTCATTGACATTATTTATGTACCAAGTAGATCCAAATATCATAGAATAGGTCTTGTTAAGATTTATTTTAAGAATATTGGTCTCAGCCCAATTTAATACAGACTGAACATCTTCCTTTAGTAATGATAAATTATGTTTTAAGTCTTTCAGACTAGAATGCATATAAATCTGCAAATCATCCACAAAGTACATATGCTTACAATATTTGAGGACATTACTTAATTCATTTGTGAATAATAAAAATAAAAGTGGTCCTAGCACTGATCCCTGAGGAACTCCAGTTCCAATATCAGCCCACTCAGAAATTTCTCCTTTAGCTCCAACAACAGCCTGCATCCTACCTGAGAGATATGAAGCAAACCATTTTAAAACAGAGCACGATAATCCAATAGATTTAAGTTTCGTTAGCAAAATGGTATGAGGAACCATATCAAAAGCTTTACTAAAATCAAAGAAAACAATTATAGTTACTTTTCGCTCATCAATTGCTTTACATATATCATCATTTACTTTTATTAAAAGAGTTTGAGTACTAAAGCCCTTTCTATAGCCAGACTGATAAGGACTCAGGATATTATTAAATTCAATAAACTCAATAAACTGAAAATAAACAATTTTTTCAAGGACCTTTGACAAGCAACTAAGTAAAGCTATCGGACGGTAATCCGCAGGCTGTTGCGGCACACTTACTTTAGAAACCGGCTTGATAAGAACTCTCTTCCATTCATCAGGAAAGGTTGATGTTTGCAAAGATAAATTAAAAAGATCAAGCACGTAAGGAAACAACACCGGCATGGCTTTCATAACAGCACTTATGGATAAACCATCATATCCCTGTGCCTCTGTTTTAATACTTCTTAGAGCTTTCATTAACATAGATGGACATATATCCTCAAAGAAAAAAAGAGTGTCATCAAACTCATCATCACAAAAAAAGTTTGAAAGAAACAAAGGCTTAATATTAAAAGACGAATTTCCACAAACAGATATAAAGTAATCATTAATTAAATTAACATCAAAATTAAGTGGAGAATCATCCATTTTTCTCTTTGCAAGGCCAATGCGTCTAAGCTCACTCCAAAGTCTACCCGAATCAGTAATTAATCTCAGCCTACCGGCATTGTACTCATCACGCGCTTTTCTAATTGAAAATTTAACAATATTTCTAAGTGTTTTAAACTTATTTCGCAATGAATCAGTACCAACTCTCTTCCAAGCTCTAAAAACAGAATCTCTTTGCCGTATCATATCTCGAATGTCATCATTCATCCAAGGACATACATTCCGTCGCATTACACAGGTGCGTAGTGGAGCATGTTCATCAAGTGCCTTAATGATAGCATTACAAATAAAAGACTGCTTAAAATCAATAGAATGAGAAAGATAAAGATTGGACCAGTTTACAGAATTAAGAGTTGACAAGAAAGAAGTATCATCAATCCCAGAAATGTTTCGAAAAGTTTTAGCAGAACATGTTGTTTGTTTAAATGTCCATTTATAAGATATTGAAATAAGCTCATGTCCCGCTACAAAAGGTACATGGGATTGAGATACAGCAATCAATTTATCTTTATCATCTACCACACACAAATCAATCCAAGATTCAGAATTAGTCGTATGGTGAGTTGAATCGTAAGGCACAATAAATAAATTAAATGACTCAAAAAAATCTCTGATATAATTTGACTCAATTGATATCCCATTAAGATTATAGTTAAAATCACCACATATTACAACATTATCATACAGATTAAAAAATTTTTTAAAATGATACTCAAAATCATCCAGACTTTCTCCACCAGGTCTACGGTAAACAACAGCAAAAAGTAAAGGCTTAACATGACGACTAGAAATCTCAACTATGATAAATTCTGGTTTATTATCAAAAAGTTCAGAGGATGAAAATAAAATTCTCAAATGAAGGTGACTCTTAACATATATTGCAACCCCTCCTCCCCTTTTACCATATCTGTCCCTTCTGACTAAATTAAAGTCATTAATATCAACCATGTCATTACTAATTTTATCAGTTAACCATGTTTCACTTAATGCCACCACATCATACGTATGCATTGAAAGATGACTACGCAGAAGATCAATATTTGCCCTAAGTGAATTAATATTAATATGACACATTTCTAAAAATGAGGAAGATATACAACCAGGATCAGCAGAAACAGCCGCATGTACATTTACAGATGTAGATGGCTGCATACATAACAATGGCCGTCATTCCTTTAACATTTCCAGATCATTTAAAGAGTTGATCCTGATTATTTCATCCTTATCCTGTCGTCTCACGAATATAGTTCCCTCCTTATGCCACACGTACTTATAATTGAACAACTTAGCTTTGCTTCTTGTTTGTTTAAGAAGAGAGTAAAAATTAGACGGGAGATATGCATTAATATACACTCGTGATTTCTGCAAATTTGGACTTATTTCCGAAGAGAAGAGAGATTTCTTAGACTTCATAGAAGAAATAAATTCATCTTTAAATCTACTCGAAGAAAAACAAACTAAAATGCTTCTATGTCTCTTCATGGAATCCACCGAACTGGAAGCAATAGAGCCACTAGATTGGATTCTATTGCTTGACACAATGTCAGATGCATCAATGCTGACCTTCAATACAGAAGCTATCACACAGACAAGCTGATTAAGATTTTCTCCTTCAATTTCCGGCAAACCAGCAACAACCATCAAATTATCACACTGCCTAATTTCAGCTCTAGTTAAGCGCTGGTCCATCCTTCTTTGTTCATCACTAATGGAGTTTATCTGCTCGTGAAGAACAACACTATCTTTTGAAATCTGGGAAACTTTAATATCCAAATCATGAGTGCGTTGAGAAATGTTATTCAACTGCTCAGTATTTTCACTCATCATTTTCCGAAGACTAGGAAGACACTCCACCTTTGATTTAATGTCAGCCAATTCAGAGTTTAAAACACTTTGTTCAGAACGCATTGATTTTACTGCATTAGTACAGGTTACAATAGCTGACATTAATTGATCAAACTGAGGGGTTGAAATATCATGAGTTTCCATTCTGCAAGCTTCCCCCATTTCCATATTAGTAGGTGAATTTGAACTTGACAGACCAGTTTGAACAGTTTCTTTGAGATTAATTTTAACAGGAGGTTCATTACAGATAATAAGTTCATTATTTGTATTATACACTTTATGACTGTAGCAAGTTGAGTTTGTATGAAAATATTTATCACACCTTTTACAATATGCAGCCATATTAATGATGTCCTTTTTACAATATCTACACTCCTGAGGCATTTTAAACAAGAAACAGTGAACCAATAAATATAAGAGATCAGTCAATGAATAAAGTACTAACACTCCCTGTCCGTATGCAACCGAAAACACACTTAAGGCCCCTTAACTATAGGCAACCCAAAAAGCGTACAAGTCTCTGATTAAATACACTCATGATAAGCAGATAAGTAGGCAATCTAGGGAATATCAGATAAGCTATAACTTTCAGCAAGAGATCAACACTCATTTCCAAAAGATGGAACTCTGTCCAAAATAGTCTATGACGTCACAAAAAGAGCTTTATATAATAAAATAACACAAAAAACAATGTATAAATAATATAATAAAAAGATAAATAAAGCACAGCATATAAATCACAATGTTAAAAAAGAAATAAGACACCAATTTACAGATTTTAAAAAAACAATCTTATTGCCTCAGATCACTCTAAATGAAACCAGATGTCACTTTAAGAAGTCACTTTTTTTTAACAAAAACATTATTATTAATAAAAGAAGCAATAAATAAATAAAATCAGTCCAGAAATCACTACACAATTATAGAGTCACATTTTATCTTTAAGAAGACACTAGATACAATAAAAAAAACATTATAATAAACTTGAAACAAAAACAATATTGCGGAGCAAATAAAAATACGTCATTCCAATACTTTATACTTATCGTCATGATCATCAACAGTATCAACATCGTCATCATCATCATACTTAAAATCATCAGTATGATTATCGTCAGTATGATCATCATCATGATCATCATCAGCATGATCATTAGTATGATCATCATCTGTTCATCATTAGTATGTTCATCATCAAGTTCATCATTAGTATAATCATCAACATTATAATCATAGTCATGTTCATCATAATTATGATCATCAGTATGATCATCCTCAGTATGATCATCATCAAGTTCACCATTAGTATGATAACAACAGTATGATCATCGTCATGATCATCAGTATGATAATCCTCAGTACGATCATCATCATGATCATCATCATCATCATGATCATCAGTATGATCATCATCTTGTTCATCATTAGTATGTTCATCATCAAGTTCATCATTAATATGATCTTTAACATTATGATCATCAGTATTATCATCCTCAGTATGATCATCATCATGATCATCATCATGATCATCATCATGATTATGATAATATCATTATTATAATATAATATCATTATGATAATCATTATCATGATCATCATAATTATAATCATCAGTATGATCATCCTCAGGATGATCATCATCATGATTATCATCATTATGATCAGCAGTATGATCATCATCTTGATCATAATTACTATGTTCATCGTCAAGTTTATCATTAGTATGATCATCCTCAGTATGATCATCATCATGATCATCATCATCATGATCAACAGTATTATCAACGTCATGATCATCATACTGTTGATCATGATGATGATAATCATGATGATGATCATGATGATGATGATACTGGGGATAATCATACTAAAGACCATAATTATGATGATCATGACGATGATCATAATGTTAATAACCATACTAATGATGAACTTGATGATGAACATACTAATGATGATCAAGATCATGATCATACTGATGATCATGATGATAATGATCATGATGATGATCATACTGAGGATGATCATACTGATGATTATGATGATGATGATCATACTGATGATCATACTGAGGATGATCATACTGATGATCATAATTATGATGATCATGACGATGATAATTCTGTTGATCATGATGAAGATCATAGTGAGGATGATCATACTAATGATCATAATTATGATGATCATGACTATGATCATACTGTTGATGATCATGCTAATGACCAACTTGATGATGAACATAGTAATGATGATCAAGATGATGATCATACTGATGATCATGATGATGATGATTATGATGATGATCAACTTGATGATGAACATAGTAATGATGATCAAGATGATGATCATACTGATGATCATGATGATGATGATTATGATGATGATGATCATACTGATGATCATAATTATGATCCTCATTATGATCATCATCATCATGATCATTAGTATGATCATCATCTTGTTCATCATTAGTATGTTCATCATCAAGTTCATCATTAGTATAATCATCAACATTATAATCATAGTCATGTTCATCGTAATTATGATCATCAGTATGATCATCATCAAGTTCACCATTAGTATGATCACAACAGTATGATCATCGTCATGATCATCAGTATGATAATCCTCAGTACGATCATCATCATGATCATCATCATCATCATGATCATCATTTTGATAATCATCATCATGATCATCATAATTATGATCATCAGTATGATCATCCTCAGTATGATGATCATCATGATCATCATCATCATGATCATCAGTATGATCATCATCTTGATCATAATTACTATGTTCATCGTCAAGTTCATCATTAGTATGATCATCAACAGTATGATCATCGTCATGATCATCAACAGTATGAACATCGTCATCATCATCATACTTCAAATCATCAGTATGATCATCGTCAGTATGATCATTATCATGATCATCATCATCATGATCATTAGTATGATCATCATCTGTTCATCATTAGTATGTTCATCATCAAGTTCATCATTAGTATGATCATCAACAGTATGTTCATCGTCATGATCATCATAATTATGATCCTCATTATGATCATTATCATCATGATCATTAGTATGATCATCATCTTGTTCATCATTAGTATGTTCATCAACAAGTTCATCATTAGTATGTTCATCAACAAGTTCATCATTAGTATGATCATCAACATTATGATCATCGTCATGTTCATTATAATTATGAGCATCAGTATGATCATCCTCAGTATGATCATCCTCAGTATGAAAATCATCATGATCATCATCATGATCAACAGTATTATCATCGTCATGATCATCATCATGATGATCAACAGTATCATCATCATCATGATCATCATAATTATGATCATCAGTATGATCATCCTCAGTATGATCATCTTCATGATCATCGTCATCATGATCAACAGAATTATCATCGTCATGGTCATCATACTGTTGATGATCATACTAATGATGATCATACTGAGGATCATGATGATGATGATCATACTGATGATCATGATGATGATGATTATGATGATGATGATCATACTGAAGACCATAATTATGATGATCATGAGGATGATCATAATGTTGATGATCATACTAATGATGAAGTTGATGATGAACATACTAATGATGAACAAGATGAAAATCATACTAATGATGAACTTGATGATGAACATACTAATTATGATCAAGATGATGATCATACTGGTGATCATGATGATGATCATACTGAGCATGATCATACTGATGATCATAATTATGATGATCATGACGATGATAATTCTCTTGATTATGATGATGATTATGATGATGATCATACTGAGGATGATCATACCGATGATCATAATTATGATGATCATGACGATAATCATAATGTTGATGATCATACTAATGATGAACTTGATGATGAACACACTAATGATGATCAAGATGATGATCATACTGTTGATCATGATGATGATGATCATGATGAAGATCATAGTGAGGATGATCATGATGAAGATCATAGTGAGGATGATCATACCGATGATCATAATTATGATGATCATGACGATGATCATAATGTTAATAATCATACTAATGATGAACTTGATGATGAACATACTAATGATGATCAAGATCATGATCATACTGATGATCATGATGATAATGATCATGATGATGATCATACTGAGGATGATCATACTGATGATAATGATGATGATGATCATACTGATGATCATACTGAGGATGATCATACTGATGATCATAATTATGATGATCATGACGATGATAATTCTCTTGATTATGATGATGATT